CAGAAACTTCGCTGATCAGAGAGATCTCATAAAGTGCTTGATTACATTGGTTTCATCCTTATGTTTCTTTTTTCGTTTTTGATGCCTAAATTACAGTATGCCGCCGTTGCACAACATTTATCTACCACGTTAAGCATACCGCCGCCGCCGTCGACGACAAATTAATTCAATTTTCCAACTGCATTTACAGATATAGAAATATCATGCCGCCGGGTCACCATATGTTTTAGTATACAATAAAAATACCACCGACGCCGGCGGTTGTTTATCCAGTGTGATAAAAATAAGTTAAAAAATGCTTCTTGCTAATATTTGTTGGATTAGTAATAATTAGAGTTGGGAAAAAAATTACTACCTGTGATTTTGTCGCCATGAAATAAAAGTCAGGGATCACAGTCGTTACCAAGATAAAAATAAAACGTGATTGGAATTAAAACGTGACGGTGACTGCTACGGCAAACGCAACCAGCGTGAGCCGCGACTGTATCAAGATACGAGGTTGTTTGACCTGTTACTGCTACTGTAAGGTTGAAAATTGCAAATCACACCGCAAACGCGTGATGTACAGGGTGACCAGATTGGGCGTTTTCGCGCAAATTGGAAAGAAAGTAGGTAACATTTAGAAATACGAAATTTGGGACAGGTTTCTTGAGTGATGCAAATGGGCACTAAGAAGGGATTTTTGGAAATTCGACTTCTAATGGGTGAAATTAGGGATGAAATGTAGCATAAAAATTTGTTAAAATCTATTCTAGGAGTATAAAATTTTTCACATATGCTCCTAGGTTGACGTTATTGGGTACTAAGGTACTACTATCCTCTGTGGACGTTCTGAAAAAAATATGTCATAGGATTATGAAAATTTGCACAGAGGTTCCTTGTGTAGTGTAATTAAATAGTTAGAGCGATTTTCGGAATTAATTTTAAGGGGGTGAAACTAGGAGTGAAAATTTTAGGTATGTTTTATGTAAGTTATTACATAATTCAGAATATTCACCAACCAAATCCAACCCTCATTTCACCCCCTTAGCGGGCCATTTCACCCCCTTAGAGAAATTTCACCCGAAACTGGGGGTGAAATTCTGTATAATTTTTAAGTTCACAAATTAGTTCTAGGAGTGTGAATTTTGTAGAGGATCTTTAAGTGACGAATGTGAGTAGGTACTCAGAAACGAATTTTGGACGTTCATCCCCTTCTTAGGTTTTTTAAATAATTTCTTAATAAGGAATAAAAGTTGGTATAAAAATTTGTTAAAATCGATTTTAGAAGCATCAAATTCTGCGCAGACGTCCTTGATTGTAATTTAGCACTAAGAAGCAATTTTTAAAAGTTGCCCTCTAAGGGGGTGAAATGAGGGTTGGATTTGGTTGGTGAATATTCTGAAAAAATACTTATTGTTAAATACGATATATAAGATACGATTAATAAGAAACATTTTTTTTTCAGTACATTCATACTACATTTCACTCCTTCGAACGAGGCGAATTTCTAAAAATTGCTTCTGTTGCGAGCCGGTGTGGACTCGACCTAACCTCACAATATGGCCCGCCCTCGGATGACCTTAACATCGCATAGACACCGCAATGACTCATTCGTTCGAGAAGAATCGAGACCCACTAGAATGGACGCGTACATACGAGAACATTCGAAAACCTTCTCTATGCGCCTAACGATCTTTGGATACAAAATTTCAAACTCCTAACGAATTTTAAAAAATTTTATGCCATCATTTCACCCTCAGTTTCTCCCCCATAGGAGATGAATTTCCAAAAATCGCTTCGAACTGTTCAGTTTCGCTACTTAAGAGGCCTCCCTGCAAAATGCAAAATTTCATACTTCTAGTAACGTTCGAACAATTCTCTGTACAAACTTTCACCTCTAATTTCACCCTCTTAGGAAATTAATTTCCACAAAATTTTTCTGAGTATCCACTTTTATACTCAAGGGACCACTTCCGTGTAAAATTAGATATTGCCAGAACGGTTTTTACATAAAACATACCTAAAATAGCCACTCCTAGTTTCACCCCCTTAAAATTAATTCCGAAAATCGCTCTAACTATTTAATTACGCTACACAAGGAACCTCTGTGCAAATTTTCATAATCCTATGACATATTTTTTTCAGAACGTCCACAGAGGATAAATTTCCAAAAATTGGTTCATAGTCCTAAATTACATTCTATAAAGAACGTCTGCACATAATTTCATATTTCTTATGGGATGAATGTCCAAAATTCACTTCTGATTACTCACTTTCATCACGTAAGAGACCTCTGTACAAAATTTTACACTCCAAGGACTCGTTTAAAAAAATTATACATTTTACCAGCCAACCTTAGGAGATGAATTTCCGAGAATCGCTTCTAACTGTTAAATTACGCTACTTAAGGCACCTCTGTGCAAAATTTCGTACTTCAGGGACATGTTTTAATTCTTTTGTATACAAATTTCACCCCTCAGTTCCCCCTTTCACCCCTCAGACCCCCTTCAAGAGCGAATTTTCAAAAATCGCCCCTTAGTACCCAATAACGTCAACCCAGGAGCATATGTGAAAAATTTCATACTCCTAGAATAGATTTTAACAAATTTTTATGCTACATTTCATCCCTAATTTCACCCATTGGAAGTCGAATTTCCAAAAATCCCTTCTTAGTGCCCATTTGCATCACTCAAGAAACCTGTCCCAAATTTCGTATTTCTAAATGTTATCTACATTCTTTCCAATTTGCGCGAAAACGCCCAATCTGGTCACCCTGCACATCACGCGTGTTTGCGGTGTGATTTGCAATTTTCAACCTTACAGTAGCAGTAACAGGTCAAACAACTTCGTATCTTGATACAGTCGTGACTCACGCTGGTTGAGTTTGCGACTGTGATCTGTGATCCCTGACTTTTATTTCATGGCGACAAAATCACAGGCAGTGATTTTTTGCCCAACTCTAGTTATTACTAATCCAACAAATATTAGCAAGAGGCATTTTTTAACTTATTTTTATCACACTGGATAAACAACCGCCGGCGCCGGTGGTATTTTTATTGACTAAAACATATGGTGATCCGGCGGCATGATATTTCTATATCTGTAAATGCAGTTGGAAAATTGAATTAATTTGTCGTTGACGGCGGCGGCGGTATGCTTAACGTGGTAGATAAATGTTGTGCAACGGCGGAATACTGTAATTTAGGCATCAAAAATGAAAAAAGAAACATAAGGATGAAACCAAAGTATTGATGAGATCTCTCTGACTTTGATGAGATCTCTCTGATCAGCGAAGTTTCTGGTTTAAACAATTTTTAAATCTTCTCATGTGGCTGTATTTTGAATGCTTACAACTATTTTTGCGTTTTCCTTAAGCTTAGAAATTATATTTAAATTCCTTGCTGTCTTAACATATTCAACAGGGTGTTTTCACCAAACTATCAACATTTTGTTTCTCCGCGTAAAATTGACAGATGGGAACTTTCAGTTTCAATTTGTAACCTAACCTAACCCCGTTTGGACAAGAATTTCCGAACGAATCTCGCTGCGAACTGCTCATTTACGCTACGTACTCTTTGCAAAATTTCGTACTTCTAGCACATACTTTATTTTTTTTGTATACAAAATTCACCCCTCATGCACCCCTTTAAAATGTGAATTTCCAAAGATCGCGCCTTAGTACTCAATTACGTCAGCCCCCGTGAAAATTTGCATACTTTTAGACCAAATTTTAACTAGATCTATTGTGTCCCAAACACAATTTCTTGAGTTATAACCCATCATACAATCTCAGGGCTTTGACAAAAGCCAGTATCTGAGAGGGTTTTACAGAGACTAGTTCTCCATCTCCGATATCACTCGTACCAGAGTTTATGACACGAATTGTTATCGTCTCGGCGCACTCAGTGATTGTCCCCACTGAATATATTGTCCACACAGAATATTCACTTCCCGTTGTTTCTTAGCTCCAATCTACTGAGGTGTTCATTAACAGACAGTGTCCTGTTAAAAACCTAATGGATAATCCGAAGATTGTTCTTACTTAAATCAAGGAAAATCTTTGATTTTTCTTAGTCGTAAGTTCTGAGAAATTTATCCGTGTGTCTTAGACCATTCTAGGATTCCCACTTCAGATTACGGATGGAGTCTCCCAGGTTCTTGAGTTCCGCTTTAAATTGGTTTTATTCCACTTGGGAAGCAGAACGGTTCTGGTCCTTTTAGTGGAGTTTTCGCTATTTTTGTAGCTAGATTGTTTGCTTTTCCACTACCATCTTGGTCGACTTGCACCTCTATGCATTCCTTGACCAACTTCGAATTGATGGTTACTGAGTTGATCACTTTTAATGCTGCTTCGCTATCCGATAAGATGGATATTTCTTGTTCCCGGTCCGTCTAAGTTCGAGCTCCTATCTAAGATTAGTTGTACGCATTTCTCTATAGCGTAGATTTCAGCCTGAAAGATGCTGAGGAAGGTACCCATTGGTTTGCAGTATTTAGTTTCTAGTCCAAATATCCCTGTTCCTGTTAACACGTTATAGTATGGTCTTTTACCTACTGAGCAAACGTTTCTCTCTTCCAATTCTTTTTATTGCTCAATACTACAGTGAGGTGTTTTTCAAAGTTGTACATCCATGTTATGTTATCCACTGGGAGTTGGAGAATACATAAAGCAAATTAAAGCAAATCAATCCACCATCGCGCAAATCAGGAAGCGTCTTTAGGGGAAATATATCGGGAATTACCCGATGACGCAGTAGTCGAGAATTATTTAAAGTATCTTATGTAATTTCTATAATAAAAATAACATAAAAATGCTTATTGGGCATATTTTTTGGATTGGTAATGAGTTATAATGTAATCATCTAGAAAAAAATATTTTATGATTTTGTCAACGCCTGTTTGCCTACATTATATGCACGCCCCTGCTTCATTTACACAAGTTGCTTTTCGGTTCTAATATTTTTTTTATTATTTCAATTTTAAGACATAATTTAATTTTTCATTAATCAATCCTTTAGTCGGAATCCAGCCCTCTACTTCCCTGGCGTGTCCAGATCCTTCTTCGATTCGGACGGGTCGTTGCCCAACGTGTGCGAGGAACACGATCCGGAACTGCTCAGACCGATCGTAACTGGCACGTGGATGCCGGAGGCCGTTGGAGGAATGCAGGGAAAGAGCATCATATTCGCCGAGACCCAAATTGTCCAGGAATCTATTCCAATTCCAGGTAAATTGAAATCGTATAGATGACGTCGCAAGGTTTATCGTATTCCGGACATGGTCTGGTCGAACGTATTAAATTCGAAATGATTAGCTGAATATTACTAAAGTTGTAGCACTAGGTTAAATACTTCTTATTTTTCTACTCAATACAGCATAGATAAAAGAAATAAATTTAGATTAGAATTCTTCCCCCCAAAGCTTAACAATTGTTTTGGATTGCGTACGTTGTAGGGCACTGCTAGAGCAGTTGCTAAGAACAACCGTAAACAAGGACAGAAAACATTTTCTTTTGTCAAAGTCAGTATATTCAAAAATTAAAAAATCCAGAAAAATCTCAAATATTTAAGCTGTTGTTGAAAAAATATTAAAATGTGTATAAAATGTTCCTTTTCAAGTTATTGTGATCTTGAGAGTAATTTTAACTGTATTTACGCAAAGCACTTCTTGTGGAAAAGTGGCATTAAAAAACTTAAAAACTGCTGTGTGATCTGCTAAAACCAACGTAGGTAAACGTCCACACACGAGTATAAAACATCCACACACGAGTATTTTTCAATATTAAATTAGTACTGTTAAACCTGGGAGATGAGTTTTTAACTGTGATCTGACATTATAATAAATAATATAGGTATTAAGGTCATAATTTTTTTGTCTCACGCTTCACACTGCTGTTTTACAGTTTTTTAATATCTTTTGGGGATTTAATACATGTATTTATTCAGGGTGTTTCAAAAAGCATAAGCAAATAATTAAGATTTACTTTTCATATCAACATAGGTCCGATTCTGCTGTTTCGTAGCTACAGGAGGTTAAAGTCCTCATTTTTTTTATTTATTATAATTTTCATCCTACAATAGTGCCCGGTGGCGTAGAGGTACAGGCTCTCGTCTACCAATCTCAAGGTAGTGGGTTTGAATCCAACACCCGGCATTTCACCAGCCGACTATTGTTATTAAATAAAAATAGTTTGGGTACCTAAGTCGACTCAGCCTTAAATGAGTACTTGAGATTCACAATCCTGAGGTAATAATAGGCGGTTGAAGGGTAGTGCTAGCCACATTACCTTCCTTGTATATCGAACGACTCTAGCATTGTTTAAGGAAAAGAGTAGTTCACTCTCGCAAATATTTTCTGCCAGTTTATGCAATCTGTCGAATATCGGCAGATTGCAAAGCGTTTCAGTTGAATTTCGTCCGTCGAGCTGCGAGGTTCGAGCGTTGCGTCCCAGCACAGAGACGGATTGTCAAAATATGAGTGCCTTACTGTGTGCTGCTATTAATTGTAGTAATAATTCAAAAAATTGTTCTTTGCGTTTTTTAGATTTCCATCGGATGTAAATCGGTAAGCTGATAGTAATTATCAATAAACATTTAATTATATTTGTTTATTTTAGAAGCTGAGATATTATGTAATTAATTAAATGTTATTATCTTTTTTAGCATGTGGGCAGATTTTAAAAATAGTTTTTAGATATACAGGTTGTCTCAAATATGCACATGAAAATATTTTGTGGTCAGGGTATTTGTCATAAAAATTTTATTCCAATCATAATTTACGAAATAATTTATATAGATTGGTTTTTGAAACCAAATTATTCATATTTTTTAATTAAAAGAATTTTATAATAGCATAATCTCTTATAAATTTAGTGGACTGTATTTTTTATGTTTTTTTTTATTTTATTTATTTTTATTGTAAGTGGTCTAATATAATAATATACAAAATATTATAAACAAAATATTGAGTTTATATTTGAGGGAAGAAAAGTGCCACACCTAGCTTTAAACCACCGTAAATATATAGGGTGGCCCATTAGTGCGGGGAAGTCCAATATCGTCGTCGTTGTCGAAGACGTGAAAAAAGTTTTATTCCTATGTTTACAGTTGAGGGTTGGAACCTTTGGCGTTAAACAGCAAAATAAAAACACTAAATCACCACAATACACCAAAACACTTTTACTTTTACATTGGACGCGCGTTTCGCTAACCATGTTAGCATCATCAGCAGATGATTATAAACTAATAGTTTTTTCTTACTTCATAGTTTTTTAATACTTCAGTTTATAATCATCTGCTGATGATGCTAACATATAGATGATGCTAATAATACGTAAAAGTAAAAGTGTTTTGGTGTAATGTGGTGATTTAGTGTTTTTATTTTCCTATGTTTGAAGGTTTATAAAGAGGTGTATCCAAAAATATTTTGTTATATACAGGGGGTCACAAAATAAGGTATGGTAAAGTTAGTTTTATTTTTTTAACTGCCTAACCAACTTCCGATTCCGATTCTCTACAGAAAAATGGGGGGGTGTCCATTTCTACAGTGTTGCCATTCTATGACTTATTTACTAAAACTTTGGTTAAAAACATTATATCCAAAAACTTGTAAAAAACTAGAGTGAATATAACTTTATTAACACTTGGCCTTATTATAGCCAAGTATTAATAAAGAAAATAGAAAATATAGCCAAGTGTTAGGCTATATTTTCCTAAACAAGAATAACAAATCCGCGTAGAAAAATTTACATTATTCTATATAGGGTATTTTTTATGGCGTCACTTAAATCGGAATATTTAAAATGGTATATCTCACTTTTCTTAAATGCAACATTCTGTATATTATTTTTCTGTCAGATGCACAATTAAAAAGTGAACATTTTAACGGTTTCGCAGATATTCGCAGTATTATATTACATAATATGGCTTTTCAACAGTAATTTTTTATGAAAGCCACCTAATATGATCTTTGTCTCATATTTTATCGTTGAAAATCCCATATGTAATGAAATACAGAAAATATTTGCAAAACGGCTAAAAATTTAAGAACACTTTAAAGACAAGAAATGTTCACCTTTTAATTCTACATCTGAAAGAAAAATAATATAAAAGGTGTTGCTTTTAAAAAAAATTCTCATTTTTTGTTACCTACACGAAATGTGAAAATATTCTGTTTTCAAGAAAGTTTTTACTCGATGATCAATTTTTTTTATTTTATTTTATTGTGAACTCATATTTTCCTAAATACATATCTGTGAAACTATGCCGAGTGTCACGACTATACTTTGCTTAGTTAATAGACCACGACTATACAACTACGTCAGTGGTCACGGAAGACGAGAACAAGGTCATATAAAGTGGCAGAAAAAGAACAAAGGATTTGACAAGGAGTAAAGCTACTAGTTTCATTATACTATGGCTCTAGCATGGCAAGCTGTACCTTGCTACTCCCAAGGCGTGTATCTCTACAATATTTTAAATATTACGATTTTGGTGACTCTATAAAAAATATACGATATACGATAAAGTACATTTTTCTACACGAATTTATTCTGGTATCCTTGATGTTTAAGAAAACATAGCTAAGTATTAATAAAGTTATATAAAGGTCATATAAAGTGGCAGAAATAGAACAAAGGATTTGACAAGGAGTAAAGCTACTAGTTTCATTATACTATGGCTCTAGCATGGCAAGCTGTACCTTGCTACTCCCAAGGCGTTAAACGCTATATGCGGAAGCTATTATTATCATTAGTAATTTTCTTCCAGTGCTTTTAGCGATTCGAATGAAATTTGGAGGGTAAATGAGTGCTACATATTTTAATGCTAAAAAAGTGTCGACCTATTCACCAGGGACATGCATATAGATTATCATCGGAATATTTTTCTAAAAAAAACATGTGCGCCACTGACTTCTTTCTTCTTATTAGCCATGTGTGTAGGCCATTTAATGCTGATTAAAAGTTGTATCCATATCGATCTCCTCGATGTGATAAACGCAATTATTAATATTAAAGTTAAGGAATATGAACCCTGTCCCAACATAAGATAAGAAGCCTCCCAAATTATTTAATTTTAATGACAATTAATAAAATTTATTATAATTTTATTAATCACAATTAATAAAATTAAAATACAAATAAAATTAATAAATTTATTTAATGTAATTTATTACTAAATTTTATTAAAATTTATAACACTCTTACAGTGCTACCTATAGGAAATTCTCTAAAAATACTATGGTCTATATAAAAAGCCTATTTTTTAAATTTTTAACATCCTGTAACTTTAAAATTATGCATTTCCTCACCCATGTTCATAGGTATTTTTTTATATTTTTTGATGAGTAATCAATGGGTACTATCAATTGCGTCTAAGTCATCAAGGGGACCGAAATCGACAAAATCTCAAGAAACAACTTTTAATCAGCATTTAATGGGCTACACAACTAACAAGAACAAAAAAGTCAGTGGCGCACATATTTTTTTCAGAAAGATATTCCAGGAATAACCCATATGCACGTCCCTGGTGAATATGTCAATACTATTTTAATATTAAAATAAGTCGCACCTATATTAATTTTTACCTTCAGAATTTCATTCGAATTGCTAAAAGAACTTGGAAGATAAAGAATTATAATAAATCGAAAGAACAACTAATCTCTAAGATGAAGAATTTAACCTCCTGTAGCTACGGAACAAAGCAGAATCGGATCTATGTTAATATGAAAAATATATCTTATTTTTACGAGAGGAATCCTACGAAAGATGGCACATATTTTTTGAAATACATCGTATAAAATAATAAGTTTTTTATATGGATCATAATAGTTTGGATATTTTATTTTTATCAAAAAAAAAGTAATAATAAATTTGAATAAAAATTATTTTCCGATATAATTACGGAAACTGCCGAACCGCTCCGAAATTATCAAAAACTTAGGATCGCGTCCGCTGCAAGATCAGCATTACATAGTAAAGAGCACTTTCCAATCTAAACTTGTTTCATTCATCCATACTAGATAGTTGAAGAACGGCTGCGGAGGCTAAAATCGTGTAACATAGATTATAAGCTAAGCAAGAAAAGCCTCCTTACATATATAAAATTGTTTGTCTCAAAACCAGATATTTTGATGCGGTAGTTTCGCTACTACATAACAGAGGACAATAAATTTAAAAGAATTTTTTGTGCAGTGTCGCTATTGTGTAATTCATATTTTAATACTACATATTTTAATACTCTTAATACACTTCATACATCTGTGTCTGATATACTTAATTTATTTATTTTCTCGTTTTTTTTCTCCTACTACATCCGCTTTTTCCGCGATAGTAGAATGAATTTAGAATGAGTGGGAGGGGGGTTAATCACTTCGACCTTACAGATCCATTGTGTCCCCCTTTCTTGAATCATAACTCATCATACAGTCCCAGGGCTTTGACAAAAGCCAGTATCTGGGACGGTTTTATAGAGGGTAGTTCTCCATCTCCAATATCAGTCGTACCAAAATTCATGGCACGAATGGTTGTCGTCTCGGCGCACTCAGTGATGAGGTGTACTGGTGTTTCACCATCTTCCCCCACAGAATCTGCATTCGCCGTTTCTTCTTAGTTTCAATCTACTGAGGTGTTCATTGAGGAGACAGTGTCCTGTTAAACCTCGTGACAATCCGAAGATTGTTCTTACTCAGACCCAGGAAGATCTGTGATTTTTCTTGATCATAAGCCCTCAGAAACTTCTTCGAGTGTCCTAGACCATTGCAAGATTTCCATTCTAGGTTGCGGATGGAATCTTCCAAGTTCTTGAGTTCCGCCTTGAGTTGGTTACCACTTGGAAAGCAGAACGGTTCTGGTCCAGTTAGTGGAGTGTTCGCTCCTTTCCTAGCTAGATTATTTGCTTTTTCATTGCTTTCTATCCCTTGGTGAGCAGGCACCCAGTGTAGGAGGACTTTGTTTTCTTTGCCTAATTTATTCAGCTTCTCTATGCATTCTTTGACCAATTTCGAATTGATTGATACTGAGTTGATCGCCTTTAATGCTGCTTGACTATCAGATAAGATGGCTATTTCTTGTTTCCGATAGTTCCTATCTAAGATAAGTTGTACGCATCTCTCGATAGCGTAGATTTCTGCCTGTAGGATACTAGGGTAAGTGCCCATTGGATCGGAGTAATTAGCTCTCGGCCCAAACACTCCGATCCCTGTTCCCGTATTGGTTTTGGAAGCATCAGTATACCAAGTTATTGTATGGTCTTTTAACTGCTGGGCAAGCGTTTCGCTCTTCCAATCCTTCTTATTGCTCAATACTACATTGACATGTTTGTCAAAGTTGTACGTTCTTGGCATATCGTCCACTGGGAGTTGCAGAAGTGGTCCGCGATAGTAAACCTATTTATTAATATCTGACAGTTTTGTAGCCCACTAAAAATTTTAGGTATCCTTGGAAGTATCCCCAGAATTACCATAAAAGCTGAATTTTACTCAGCTATAAGTCAATTAGTAAAGTACTTTTGGGACCCAGCTAATACCGATTTTAAACAATGCTCCTCCCTAGAGGTCCTAGAAATATATAAGATATATTCATAGTCTGTGTGGCGTATTTTCTATTATATCCTAAGATTTATAGAGTTTTTTTATATTTGAATTAAATGTATAACAGTTTTAAGAGATTTGACAGTTATAATGATATAATTTATTCTAGTAACAAGATAAAGTGGTGAGATTTTGTCTCTCTCTCGTATCTACTTATATTAAGAAATAATAATCGATCATATTTCTTGAAAGTTTAACTTTATTATACAGGATAACGCACTATTTCAAAGAAGTACTTCCTAAAAATGTCTCTACCTCTTTGGTGGATTCATCTCTTCAAATGGGTATTTCGCCACTGTAAGAAAATCTGCAAAATAAAATAGTTATTTTTTATAAACACTGCTGGCATTAATCCAACGGAAATCAGCTTGTCAGCAGTGATTTACTAATAAACAAATTTACCTAGTGGAAACAAAAATGCTTAACACTTCGGGAAGTCTATCTCTTCCCGGAAATAAAGAAAAAAATATATTTAAAATATCTAAATACAACTATTCAAGAAATCTTTAGTTTTTTTTTTTCAACAGATACGTCTATAAACACCGTTGACGTTCTGTTAAAATGATATTATGATAATAAAATAATCAATGACGAGATTTGATTTAAGTCATTTTACGTATTCTTGTACATTGTCTTGTTAAACTTATATAATGATCCGTTAAAACGAACCTATATTACGATCAATAAAAATTGGCGTCATAATGACCCTCCATTTAACGATCGGTTGTTATTTCTGAGAGAAAGATTTTCAATCATTTTCATCCACTAATTCCCTTTTTAGGTTCCGAATTAAATATTCTCTACCAGAGCTCCCAAACCTTAGGTTACTTGAGTACCATTCACATGAAACTAACCAATGACAAGATACCAAGCACCCTAACCCATGTCCATGTTCGAGTTGAAATTGAAGGCTGCCTCTATGTGAGAACGTACGAAGCCGATCCCAATATTTATCACACATTCGCCTGGAATAAGAGAAATATCTACAAGCAAAAAGTTTACGGAATTGCCATGGCCAAGGTTAGAACTATAATAGAATTGAACTATTATAATCTTTATTATACAGTTAGATGCAAAAAATACATATCGAAAAATATTTCGTCAAATTTAAAGTGTCATATTTTTTTTTATTTTGAACTCCATTTTTATGAATTGTTTAGCAAACTGTATATTAATATTAGTGTTGGGAAAAATCGAATGACTTCAATCCTCGAGTAGTGATCCTCGAGGATTTAAATAATTGGAAGATCACCCGAGGAATCCTCGGTCATAAAATTTAGTCTATTTAATATCTCGGTCGAAACCTGAATTAATGCTCGGCGCTGGGTGTTATTTGCTTTCTGTTTTAATATGGTGTTACAATGCACCTGAATGACTTGAATAATATTGTAATAAAAGTAAATAATTATTTTAAACACTTTTTTAATAATTTTTAATATTTTTGTGTCTAATTTCATATGGAAAATAAAATTTTCATAGATTTTGCTCTAAATTGTGCTGGTTTTGTTTCTTTAACTCCGATTGACTGCGACTTTGAAATTAATCTGGAAACCTTTCAGGCCAAATGAAAGCAAATAATTCTAGGAAATACGGGCGGCTTTTTTAAAGGGACTCGTTATTTATTATTTATCTGTCGGCGGTCGGTCATTGAGATAAAAAATATATTTTGTTTTACTTTTTAGTAGCGTGTTTTCACCGAAAATAAAATATAGTACCTAATAAATTGTGGTAGTATTGTGTTATTGTGCATATTTTAAGTTTTTGTGCGACATAATGTGCAATAAAAAGTCTTGTTTGGGACAGTTTAACTAATAATCGAAAAAATTGCTAATGATGATTGTTTCGGATTTTTAACCTCTTACTATTGTGAAAAGTACTAGATTTTTAGAGCATACTAAAGCCTTGAATACACTATATAGTGCTAATAGAAATAAAAAATATTAGGTAATGACATTAACTAACTTACAACGAGTCAGCTGTCGCTTTAAAAACTGTTTTAAATGAAATAAAGTTACAGCAATAACAGACATGTGGACATCTAAAAATAATATTGTTTTTATTCTTGTTGCCAAATTCCGCAAATCATTTACTTTATACTTTCCATCACACTAAATTTCGATTTTACTTTCATTAGAATATAGTCTCACAACGTACAACTACAAGCAAAGGTTTTTTACAACAGAAAAAGTAAAATGAAACTTGAAAATATAAACAAAGCAAAAACTCCAAATCCTTAACAACAAATAAACAAATGTGGTTTTGTTAAATGGAATTTTGAAAGTCGAAAACTGACGTATTATGAATTTTTAATTTTGAATTATTGTACAGAAAAAAACATTATATTATATCATATCACTTAAAAATCTATAAATATTAATATAAAGTGTATGGAGAAAAAATCTTCATTCATTTCATCTTCAACAAACTAAACAAAACAAAAATAAATAATATATTTCTGTTCAAAAATGCAGGTTACTACTCTGAAAACCGATTATTAATGTTACTCGAGCAAGTGATTAAACGGTTGTCCTCTATCCTTTATATAAAAGGTTTCAGCATAAATCGTAAATCGCCTGTATCCTCGAGCAGCGAGGACGGTACACCACACCCGATGTTAGTTGCGTGCCGAGTAATCCTCGGGGATCAAGAAATATCCTCGAGATATACCGAGGATATGAATACTCGGGTGACCGAATATTTCTCACTCGAGTGATCCTATCACTAATTAATATATCAACTTTAATTCGTAAATTCAGTTTTCTATAAACATTTCTATATATCTCTTATTAAACAGGGTTAATTGAACGGTTGTATTATATCTTAACTTTAAAATACTTTGTGTAATAATTTCTTAAGTAAAATTATTGTATTAAAAGAATTTCAAATCGTTAGATTATAAAGTGAGGTTTTTGTTCACTTGTCAAAAGTTCGTAAAAAGGAATATAAAAACAATAAAATCAATTAAAAAATATCTTGTGTTCAATTCCGAGCAGTTCTATTATGATATAGGCTATTTAATTTACCTTTAAGGAAAACATGAAAAGATAATTCAATATCAGCAGTGATGATTAGAAATAGATCTAAAAGTAGGTACATAGTACAAGAAATTAAACTAAAAGTGTAACACAAAAGAAATATAAGTAATTGTGAATTGATTGATATGTTTTATTAGATTCCTGTTATAATATTAATGAATTTTGTTATTTTTTTGTCAAATAATATAGGTTATAAAGCAAACCTCCTCATGCGTCAAATTTTTATCCGAAAATAAAGCCCTATTTAGCAGTTCAGATCCCAAATAGGATATCTGTGGGATAAGATTATTTTATCTAATAGATATTGCTATCTATAGGTGAAGATACACGTTTTTCTGCTATCCGACAAATAAAATATATCTGGCAGATTATAACCTGCTACTGTACCTGAAAATACCGAATGTCAGTGTAACAAAATTAATTGAAACAAAAAATATAAATAGGGCGATATTCAAAACAAAACAAAAAATACCTAAGTATTTTTAGACAGAATAGTAGTAAAAATAATAAATAGAATTATAATATTAAATAGAAAAACAGATTAGGGGTCAAACTAAATGAACTGAATGAATGAAATTATGTATCTATTTTAAAATTTGCTGTATTATATGGATTTGGTAATTTCCAGATATCTATTGGCTATCAGCACGAAACGTGTCCCGACCTAGTTTGGGTTACACAAACTTCGGAAATTAAAGGTTTCGATGTTGATATCTCAGATATAGGCGGCTGGGGCTTGGATATTCACCATCATTATAACTTTCACGAGGGAATACTTCAAAAAGGCGACGGATCAACCTTGCACTTTAAGGTAAGGATTTTAAATTGACAACTTTATAACAAGAGCTTCTCCAAAGCTTCTTTTTTCACCATATTAGGAAACATTTTCAATCGTTTCAATCAACAATTATAACCTTTAAATATTAAGTTAGAGCTTATCCTTTTGATGAAAATTTATCATTATTTTTATCCAACATATACCATTACATATACACCCCAAATAACTGAACGTCAGAAATCTATCACTGGCAAAATATTATTTAAAATTTTTCACATAATACTTAATTAAACACTTAACTCACAAATACAACAAAAGTGTTAAAAAACTTGCTTTAACAACTACTTAAAACCGGTGGCTATTAACGGCTGATGGTAGGAGGTAGGAAAACATTCCGCGGTTTTCTTCGACATTTCATCAAGACTGATAGAGCTTCTACCATTATTTCGACAACATAATATTTATACTAATCATTTGTACTAGATATCCATTGCAATATTTTTTTTTGTAAACACTACCCTGAAAATCAAAATCTCAATGCTGGCATGTTATATTGTTTAGCTTCAACTTTGAAACTCGATTATTCGGAAACCTCTGGACAAAAAGCAACAAAGTAGTATACCACTGAAAAGAGAACTGAACGCATCAAGTCGTATATTCTGTAATGCGGATGGTATCACGGGAAAAAGCTATAGTAATTAATAAAGTTTCCTTTTCTTCTAGAAATATACTAGAATGGTTAAAGTAGTGATGGGTACGGGACTGCAACGCAGCGTCGACTGTCCAGGCCAATGTGACGGCCCCGCCAAAGACGCGCGTCTTCTAACACCGGGGTCATTAGCCAGTGGCCCTGATGGCAGCATCTACGTTGGGGATTTCAACCTGGTCAGGAGAATCACTCCCGAAGGAAAAGTCTACACCGTGTTGCAGCTGAGGTAGAGTCTGGTGTTAATTCGTCCCCTTACTAAATATAATTCAGACATAACACAACGTGCTTGTATAACGGGTTACATTTGTAGGCTTGGTGCATTCTCTGCCGATGTTGCCAACATCGGAGAATAACGTAAACAGCCGACTAAATAAATACACGAGTTTATATAGCGAATACACGAATTGTTATGGTATTATTTCAAAAGTATTAGAGCAATTTGTGAAAATTATATAAAAAAATTAAAAATGTAAATATTTTGAAATTTTAGATGCATTTGCATTTAGAATAAAAGCTCGTTTTTTTTTCTTTAATTATTAATTTAATTGGATAACCATGGCGCTTTTGGTTTGTTGATGCGGACAGTCTTCATCTTCATAGGTGCATACATATTAAATAGTTTAATTAAATTTTCTGTAACATAATCGACCTTCTGATTTACTGACTGCATTAAGAATAAATATACTGTCTAAATGAACGAGTAACAATTTTGAGATAAATGATTAGGTATATTGATGATGATATTATTTGTTTTGACTAATCAAAAGTCACCCTAATGTCACACAAAACTAATTTATGGTCAGATATGTTTAAATTATCTAGAGTTAAATAATCCTGGAAAAGATTATATTTATTTGTAAAGATTGGATCTATAAGTGTTGAAGTTATGTCACTCTAGATCACTGCTTTACATCTCATCAAAGCCATAAAAATAAAAAAAAATATCTCGATTATCTTATGATCACATTTACGTCACCTAGCATTGCAATATTAATGAATGTGCCAAAGAAATGTGCCATCTCTCGTAAGGAGATTCCTCACGTAAAAATAAGATTTTTACTTTTCATATCAACATATGTCCGATTGTGCTTTGTTTTGTAGCTACAGGGAGTTAAATTTTACTATTTTTTCGATTTATTATAATTTTCTTTCAAGTGCTTTTGCGTTTCGAATTAAATTTTGAAGGTAAAAGTTACTATAAATTCTACACATTTTAAAGCTAAAAAAGTGTCGACATATTCAGCAGGGACGTGCTTATAGGTTATCACTAGAATATTTTTCTAAGAAAAGAAAGTACGCCACTTACTTTTTGATCTCGTTAGCGAAATAGTGTAATGCCGATTAAAAAGTAAATCGACCAAGAGAAATCGCTGGAAATTATTTTTAAGTTCGAAAAATGTCCGCTAGGGGGCGTTTCTCTGATAGCCAATCAGAAAACAGGATTTTCTCAAAAATATGCAAGTGAACAGGTATTTTAAATATTACTACTGTAATCATCGAGAAATTTGTAATTTTTTTGATATAGAGTGTTTTGCTCTATCTCATAAAATAAAGTGGTGGGGGAAGGTTAAACTAGCTTTTGTTAAAATAAGGATAACTCTGGTTTGGGTTAACCGATTTAAATAAACTAGGGCTCGTTTAAAAGAGCTTTTCTTCCTTAATGATACTCAGTATAAATTTTGTTCCATAATTTTTTTCGTGTTTGACATCATAACAGATATTGCGCTTTTCCATAAGAAATTTAAATAGGAGGCTATATTTCTCTTTGCACAGTTAAATAGCACACAAACTTTCCAAAATATCAGCGCAAAACGCAACTTATCTTATCTCCAACCGGAGATATTAAGAGAGAAAATCATGTTAGGCTACCGCTTAGGATTATATGATCCAAAAATTCGAGTAGTAGGCTAGGAAACAAATAGAGTTAAATTGGTTACGTCAAAATATCAAAACATATATATTAATTTCATTTTAATACCATTTAATTGTTTTTATCCATGTTCGTTCTTGATTCGACCTCATAAATTAAAAGCCAGGCATATTGAATCCGATGACCTAGCTGGTCATGGAAATATGCCGCTCCACCGTCTCTATCTACTAAAGTAAGTCGTATCCAAGAAGCCCCACACCTTCATAGCAGAAAAAGCTACCAAGCTGCACCAACTGCATCATCTACACCAACTGCGTTTATACTGATGAAATTGCAACAAATGCAATTTCATCATGATGAATCCCCTAACAAAATTGGCAATTCATCTCTGAGAAATTATGAATAGTTCATTTCATTCAGATACCGTAAAATGGGGTGAATAGAAACAGTTTCGTAGGCTATTAGCGATATACCGGTTGATAAAAATGTGGTAATATTTTCCCGAATATTTTAAAACATGGGTCTTTGTTTGTTCTTTGCGTATACATATAATTTGATTTTTGAAAAATATGCATATAAATATTAAATAAAAATAACATTTGTGTTTCTATTCACCTGCTATTGGGGAGAATAGAAACACACATTGATGTTTAGGTTTTTATCTATTCTATTTCCAACAAGGTAATTAGAAACAGTAAATTATTACATATTTAAGTAGGTTTAACAATAAATAACAATACATATAATATGACAACTTACATGTACCAGCTTATGTATTACTTTAAAAATAAATATTTTATTTATAAAGTTTTCGCGCCATACAAAATAGGTGATAAATCGATCTCACATTTATTGATCAGCTGATTGACAGAAACAGTGCTGCCACAGATAAAAATATAGTTTTTACATTTTATTGTGTATTACCAATGATAGAAAAATTAGATATGTCGACTCTTTTTACTTTGAATATTTTTAATCGTGATTTGATTTTTTTCAGAAATTTTGTTTCTATTCACCACTATGTTTCTATTCACCCCATTTTACGGTAATTAAAAAAGTCCAATCGTTCGTCATCCTAGAATTCCTGCCTAAACATTTACCGACCAACGATCTTGGTTCTGAACTACTTGCATATCAGTATTGGACCAGTATCAGTAGTGCATATTATTAAGATTCGCACCGTCGGGTTTATATGAAAAGTGACCCAAACGACATAAACTTTATAATATAATAATAAACAGCATAAACAACAGGTAAAACACGAAAACAAGTGAAATCAATGACGAACTTGGATTAATAGCTAAATGACGTTACATGAAATATACCCCTAGTTTTCGGCCATACGAAATTTATTATTGTTAAAAGCAATATGGCGGCACAAAATTCCTAGAAATTTTAATAAAATTATTGATTGTCCGACGTCTGGATATTTTAATCTGAGAACTACCTACGTATAATTAACCAAGAAATTTGTAAAAATTATGTGGATGGACGATAATGTTACATAAACACGTTTTAAAATTTATGACGTCATTTTTTTTAAGAAAATGTCCGAAATTCGAATGCATGAAAATGAACTTAAACGTTTTGATATTTTGACATTACCTATTAGGCTCATTTTGTTTCCTAGCCCACTATTATAATTTTTAGACCATATAATCCTAAGCGGCAGCCTAACATGATTCTTAATATCTCCGGTTAGAGACAAGATAGAAAGTTGCGGTTTGCGCTGATATTTTGAAAATGTTGTGCTCTATTTAACTGTGCAAAGAGAAATATAGTCTCCGATTTAAATTTCTTATGGAAAAGCGCAATATCTGTTATGATGTCAAACTGCGCTCTCTAGCTACCACGAAAAAAATTATGGAAACAAAATTTATACTGGATATAGACGGCGTCACGACAAAAGGGAGTAAGCGCCATTCGTCATTTTTTCAGGAGACGAAAAAAACGTCTAAAATCTATATTTTTTATTTTTTGGGAATTATTTTTTGGTACAGTATTATAGATTATATGGCACATTTCTCAAGAATTTTTTGCTTATAAAATATTAAACTGTTAATTAGTTATTATAATATTTGGCGCTTAAGCCTTTCTTTCTAGACTCGATTGGCGTTTACCTCTTTTTGAAAGGCGTTTAAGACTTTTGTGTCTTATTATTCTAGTCATTTTTTGTCGTTTAGGTGCACTTAGGCCTTTTGAGTTTTACAAATGAAATTAAAAATGTCGCTTGAATTTTTAAATTTTTTAATAGAAACACAGTACAAAATACTCAAATGATACTTTCAATATTTTCAAACTCATTAGGCTTGAAATAATAACTGGAAAATTAAACTTAACTAATATTCTGAGCAAAACACGGGTAAATTTGATCCGTATTCCTCGTTGGTGGCAAAAGGTGGTGCTTCTAACATGAATAATTCTGACTCCAACAGCGCATCATGCTGCAATGCCAGAAGACCATTATGGATGATATTGCTCTCAACCTCAACCTCTTGATTTCCACATTTTAATGCCAAATCTCTGATTTTCTTCCCGCGGGAATTCATTATCACACTCTGAAGGAAAAATATAAAAAAGGCTTAAGTGACATCAAAAAAACCAAATTTCAAACAATTATTAAAATCAAGAAAAAGTCTTTTGACTTGTAGCAAAGGTTTTTTTGAAAATTAATATTGTATAAAATTTAGATATTTGACAATTTTTTGAAATCTGCTGAACGGTACTTTTGTTAAAAGCAAAAAAATATGCCATTATGATCACATAGGCAGATGGCGCTTAGGCAAAACAAATAAATTAATACGAACAAGCGTAACCGACAATCACAAATAATTGTTGGTGTTAACTATTTGAATTAGATTGAAGCACAAAAAAGAATCTAGACTACAAAATATGAATAAGACCTATCTTATTAATAACTTTTACTACATACCTTTGAATGGAAAATGGTATTTTTCATCCCATACGTAAGCGACCTTCCAACACGTGTGAACGGCGGTTACTGATTTTCGCGTCGAGACTGGTTTGGAGGGGTATTGGCGGTTTGAAACTAAAACTGTCTTTTTTTTTCACGTTAAAAATTTTTGCCTGTTAAGCCGTTTCATAGATAGGTGCGCATTTATTAGTATTACATTTTGGAACAATAATCTCAATTTCGTTATTTTGGCGCTTACGCCCTTTTGTCGTGACGCCGCGCCGTCGATATCATTAAGGAAGAAAAGCTCTTGTAAACGAGCCCTAGTTTGTTTAAATCGGTTAACCCAAACCAGAGTTATCATTGTTTTAATAAAAGCTAGTTTAACCTTCCCCCACCACTTTATTTTATGAGATAGAGCAATATCAATTTTATTATATAC